CATAAACACATTTCATTACACCAAATACACAAAATAATGTTCTTTTTAGCAGCATCATATGACCCCTTTAACAATTGTCTGTTTCACTTGTATGGAGAGATACTTTGACTGCACGATGTGGGTTCACAGCAACAGCTTCTAAATGCAAATGGCACACATAGAATCAACTCCAAACTTTTAACCAGCTTAATTGATGTAGAAATAACGAAGGAATAGCCCACATCTGTCCATGAAACAGCTTTTGAGTCAATTGGCCAATTACTTATGGTCCCTCTCAGGCACGTGCACAGGTAGGGCTCAACCTGTGCAGAGCACATGCCCTTTTTGCCCTTACACTCCGAAGTGCCATTTTTTTGGTGATGGTGTTTTTTTTTCCTTCAATAAATCAGTGATATTGGTCACCCTTTACATCTGTCTGCTTTACAAATATTTAGCTAATGAAAGGTATTAAAAAGAGCTCGTGACTAAATCTTGTTGGATCCGCTCAAACTGTCAGTAAACCTCATAACTCCACCCCCTCTATCTTGACTGAATAAACTGAAGTTGCACAGCAGCTGAACTAGGTCTGCAAGGGTAAATAAAGATCTTGTTGTTTGAATAAGTACAGCGTTTTCTTTACGCAAGAAACACTATGTCTATAAAGGCTCATCATTTATGTATTTGAAACTGAGCGCCGCACCCATATAGCTACAACAAACACCTGGTGATGAAAACGTAACGCCGCCGTTTTAATGACGGACAAAATGCACATTTGCATACATTCACTGGTCAAAAACCCCGTAACTGCATTTGAGTTTGACACAAAGCGACTGAGTGATCCTCGTCACCTAGGTAAAATATATTTCTAAGAAATGTATGATTGCTGATACACTTAATTTATTAACATTTAATCATATTATATGGTCGCGTGGTTAATTCATGTTTACGCTGTTAATATGCATGTATTCTAGCTAGCTAATTTTTTTATCTAGTATTCTATACTGTCTGCTCGTCTTCAAATGTCTACACGTAGTAAAACATGGGTTTACTACAGTAATGTTGTTGTAACAAAAAAAAACTTCTGTGCTTCAATCACTGTGAAATCTTTATATTTTATCACGCATAATGCAATACATTATATATATTACATAGCTAAAAAAAAAAATTTCTTCAAACGTAATTTGATTGAACTTTATGTGTGCAAAGCAGAGAAAAATTGAATTGTGTATATACTGTATATATATATATCTTCAAAATATTGGATAAGAAAAAATTAGTAGTACAAAAATAAAACAACGCCAATATTACAAAATATAACATTAAAAAGTGTATAAATCACTCGTTTTTCTAAAGAAACATTGTCCAACAGCGACACCAGCAGGTAAAGTTACA